CCCCAGAGCTCAGGCATGGTAAGGCTTGATCAAGCACAAAGCTTCAGGGATGAGAACTGAACTCCCATATTCCTTCTGCAACTTGAAATCTAGACCCCTTTCGCCAATGCCATGGCACCTACCCGACTCGTTTCCTCATTACTCCCCAACAGCCCTGGCTCATGGGCCCTTGAAGAAGCCACACCAGTCCTATGCTCACAGTTTGCTGGACAGCCTGCTCCTCTAAGTCCTATACAGCCTCCCAGACCTAGCACAAGTGCATGGCTGTCCCAAGTGTGCCCTGACTGGCTCTCCTCTGTAGAGGCCTGTGCAGATTTTGCTCCACTTAACACTCAATTGTGTGCTGTGGTAGTGGTTGCCTTCGATTCATTAAGTTTGACTCTCGTAAGCAGGTTGAGAGAAAGGGCCTTACTTCATTCTTCTTCTGTGGCCTTTGTAGCCTGCAGTATTGTTTTCATTTTTCAAATTGTAATCACTTTTTTTTTCAAGTATCATTGATAAACATTCTTATGAAGGTTTCACATGATGAACACGTGGTTTCAACATCCACCCATATTATCAAGTCCTCAGCCGCCCATCAGCCTGCAGTGTTGTTGAAAAGACAATCTTGGCTCTGCAAAAGCTCTGATTGATCACAATGATAAGACTTGAGCTGTTGTATACTTGAAACCAACATAAGATTGCATAACAACCATACTTCAGTAGAAAAATAACTGATAAAGTTCATGAGGATTCTGAGGGAAGATTTATACTTCAGTTGTCTCAGCAGAGGAATTGGGCCATTCTAAGGTGGCATCTCAGTTGGCTGAAGGCCACATCAGCTCACGGAGGAGTGCACAGGGACAAAGGCCAGGAGTGAGGGAGGGGCCCTTACTCAGAGCCTGCACCAATGTCATGATGCCAGTCTGTGGTTTCCTCCAAAGCAGGCTCTCAAACTTCAGAACAGGCCCTCTGAAGCCTGGTTCTGGAAACACTGCCCACTCTGGCTTGGTGAAAGAAGGCCTGCTATGGGGGTGTTGTGTGTTTTTTCAGATACAATAATAATAAAAATAGTATATACAGCAGTATAACTCCTTTTGGGTTCCCAGACCCAATTCCAATGTGTGTGTGGGACGGGGGGAATCGTCCCCCACATACAGTATCAAGCACAATTCACATACCAGCAGGGCTCCAAGAACTCAGTTCTGATATTATCTGCCTAGAGACAGCACCAGATGCCCCAGGCTAAGTGCTCCTCCTACAAGACTGCCCTCCACCCCCCACTCCAGATGCAGGTCGCATATGAATGACCCAGTATGTATTTCTTATAACTCATATCATAGGGGGGTTACTTGCACACCACTGGATGGTGGCTTCTGAAGTTAATGATGGTAAACGAATCATCATCACCTTTGCTGTGACTGGTGGCTGCTCTTGGACGAAGGGACAATTTTATGGCAGGGCATGAGGTAGTAGCTAGCAGAGGACAAATAATCCCCTTTCTTTCTGACCATTAGTTTAGATTTTTCATGACCCTGGATTTAACAAAGGGAAATTTAGGTCCTTCTCTCCCTAGACAGACAACGTAGATCTTTGCACCGCCTCACTATTGAAGGAGATGAGATCATATGCTGGGTTGGAGGCCACGGTTGTCTTCCTGGGATTACCAGGTTCCTGAAGAGGGTCAGGCTACCCACTTCAAAGGATGGAGTTATTAAGGAGACCGTGAGATTTGGGATGGTGGCATTTTAAAGACTCTTGAAAAAGGAGGTCTAGTTTTTATGGGGAATAATTACTTTTTTTTTTTTTTTGGCCTGTGCACCTTTTCTTTTGAAGCTAAAATTAAAATACTTTTGGTCTTACAGTCCTCTGCTTCTTAGTTCTATAAACATCTTAGTTTATTTTCAATAAGCAAGAAAGAAGTCAAAATAATTTTCTGCAAAGGACTTGTCAACAGAAGTCCATGAGGTCAGGTTAGTGCTGTGAGAGCTGGGGGAACTCGGGATCAGAGCTCTGCAGACAGGGTTTTCTGGAAACCAGCAATAAGACAGCATGGTGATCTGTCCTTGCCCTCAGGAGAGACAGGTGCCAGGTGGTTCTCAGGTCTGAACTGTTTTTGGTTTCAACCATTAGACAACCAAAACCCAAAGTTTTAGTTTTTAGAAATTTAGTTGTATTATTGGTGTATAAAAGCCTGTTATTCTAGGACCCTATTTTAGAGGATATGGAGATGAGCAGAAATTTGCAGTCATGTGTTATTTCACTCAAGATGCAAAACTACCTCCAACTGGTTTGAGCACCGAGACATGATGGAAACGGCCTTGATCTTAGATGGCAGTGCAGGAGGGGCCTACAGGCAGGCACCTTTAGGAATTCCTTCTCCAGCTCATATCCCCCGTGAGTCACCCCTGTTTCTTCCAAGCACAAAATCAGAATGATATTTTCATCTGATTTCCCTCTCTGCTCCACAAGAGATGGCAGAAGCCAATATCTAAACAATAGAACCCTTTGACTCTGCAGAGCTCCAACAAGCCCAGCTCCCCAATTCAAGGCTTTTCCACCAACGGCAACAGGCCAACTTGGAATGTCGTCCCATGTCCTGGGCCCAGCCTTGCAGGGGGTCCACCTGATCCTAGGGCCAGTGCACGCCACCTGTTCCCACTTTTCTCCCTCCTTATCTCTGTTGTGGTCTGTCACCAACTGCCGTCGAGGTCAGTTGGAGGAGGCTCCATCCAGAACATTAACTCAGAGGTTCTCGGATCCCTCTGCTGGTTAACAACAGAAGCACTCCTTAGCTGTTTCTTGTTTGTTTGTTTTAAATGAATTAAGGTATTTTGATGACCATTTCTTCCTCCCACTCTCCCTTTCTGTCTTTCAGATTGACTCTTTAACTCTTAATATGTTCCTCTTGATGTCTTTAATTCCTGTATTAAGCACCAGTTCGTGGCCCTTTCCTAATGGGGAACAACTGGTTGGTGCTGGCTAAACGAATGATTCAGTGCACAGTTACAGGGGCCAGTGTAGTCGTGGGTCCGAGTATGGAGGAGACCGGAGAGATCCTCCACTCATGAACTGCTCCTGCTTCTTACACTGATGGCCATAATAATGGCAAATGTTTTTCCAGATTCAGAACCAAGCACTTTGTTAAACACTTCAGAGGCATCACATCACAAGAGTCCTTGTGTCGGCGTTGTGAGACAGCTTCTTTTTATCATTAGCTCTGCTTCTCAGATGACAAAGCCCAGGCTGGAGTTCTGTGGCTTGCCGATGGTGGGGCTCAGGGTTGGAGCTCAGGTCTCTGGTCTCGGTGCCCTACACCTAACTACAGAAGTACAACTTCCTCAGGTGCTCTGGGCTTTTCAGGTCCTTATTTTGGCAAAAGTTCTTTGACCTTGCTCTCTGCCTAGACATCTCTTTCCCCAACATAGCCTCTTCTCTTGGGAAGTCTGACCTTTCCTTCAAGACTCAGTTCAGGGGTCATTTGGAGAAGGTTGTACACCCCTCCCTCCTTCCCCTACCTTCTCTTTTGGTTGTGTTTGCAGAGACCCTGTGAACCAGTGCTTGCTTCCCATAGAGCACTCAGCTCACATTTTTGTCTTGATTTCCCAGCTTGTCTGTCTCTCCCATAGACTCTGACCTCATTGAAGGCAGAGGAGCGTGTCTATCCATCCTTGTGCGGCTAGTACAGAGCCCAGCCCACAGTAGTTAAAATAACAGCAATACTTAACATTTACTGGGCACCCATTTTGGTGCTAAGCATTTAGCAGAGTGCTAAGCACTTTAATATTTTAGATTCTTCATTGAACCATCACAACCACCCATATACGTAAAATAATTACTCCCATTTTACAGAGGAAGAAACTGAGGCTTAGTGAGTCCAGGGTTATCCAGTAAGTGGCTAGAAATCAGAGCTTGGGTCCAGGTCTCCCTGAACTTTTTTCACATTCATTTAATTTTGATGCCTTACATTTTAGACCTGATTTGGTGTTTTCTCTTTTAATATTGATTAAGAAGTGTGAGTAAGAAGACTAAATTTTCTTCACAAAAATTTGTAGTGCCCTGAAAAGCACCTGCTGAACCTGTCCCAGCAGAAGGGCCCTGAAGAAAAGGGCCATTTAGATAAATCAGGTTTGAGTTCTTCTGAGGAAAAGAGTTTGGGAAATCAAAGTACAGAAGGTAACTGTAGATTGGCTGAAAATCCATTTTTACCTAGTAACCTCACTTGAAATTCTGCAGCTATTTTATGAAATACTTTAAGAAATAATTGCTGTGCTCATCTGGATCACGTGTCTTCTAAAATTTCCTAGTATAAGTTAAGCATTTTTGAGACCTGAAATTCATTGAGTACGGATTTAGGTACCCAGGAGACACAAGTCCAAAACGACTTACTTTCCAGAGTATAATTTAAAAACGAAACAAAACAAAACCCGCAAGCCTTGTAATTGGACCTTTGTCAAATTTAGGCCATACGTTAATTTTGTTTAACTGTTAAAAATATTTCCCAGAGTATGCATTGGTCTTTACAGGCCTAATTGATGACTCACTTATCCATCTGTTGTAAATTCAATGCTTAGCTCAGATTTTCAAGTAATCAGTGAAATTGGTGGATAATTTAAGATAAGGTGTTTAAGAATTGTCGACAATCATTAGTTAATAGCAAGATTTATAGTGTTTCTATCTCAAAAGAACACATCATACTGTTCGAGCTTGGCTGATGGTTACATTTTACCAACATCTAGACAACTCCCAAGTCGGAAAGTTACCCTGACTTACCTTCTAGATAGCATTGGGACAGGGGGGCTGCATTTCCGTTTCACAAGATGTGACTGGTTCCCGTTGGGGTGGGTAGGCGAGACAAAATCAGAAAGTTAGGCCCACCTCTGTCCTTCTACAGATGGAGAAGGTGGGGCCCCAGAAGCTGTCCCTGGTGCACTGGGGAGCCTAGCTGCTGTGAGCCGGCCCGCCGTCTGAGCCCCCCCGCGCCGACCCGCGCTTAGCCGATTTTGCTCTGCCCTGCCCAGGTCCTGCCCGAGCGGCGGGAAGCCATGACGGCCGCCTTCCTGGAGCGCCTGGGCCCGCTGTCGGCGAGCGGGCAGCAGCTGCGGCGCCTGCCCCGCCTGCTGGAGGAGGGCCTTCCCAGGATGCCCTGCACCGTCCCGGAGACCGACGTGCCGCAGCTCTTCCGCGAGCCCTACATCCGCGCCGGCTACCGCCCCACGGGCCGCGAGTGGCGCTACTACTTCCTCAGCCTCTTTCAGAAACACAACGAGGTGGTCAATGTTTGGACGCACCTGCTGGCGGCCCTGGCCGTCCTCCTGCGCTTCTGGGCCTTCGCCGAGGCCGAGGGCTTGCGCTGGGCCTCCGCGCACGCCCTGCCCCTGCTGCTCTTCATCCTGGCCTCCATCACCTACCTCACGTGCAGCCTGCTGGCCCACCTGCTGCAGTCCAAGTCGGAGCTCTCCCACTACACCTTCTACTTCGCGGACTACGTGGGCGTGGGCGTTTACCAGTATGGCAGTGCCTTGGCCCACTTCTTCTACAGCTCCGACCAGGCCTGGTACGAGCGGTTCTGGCTTTTCTTCTTGCCAGCGGCTGCCTTCTGTGCCTGGTTATCTTGCGTTGGCTGTTGCTATGCCAAGTATCGTTACCGGAGGCCTTACCCAGTCATGAGGAAGATCTGTCAAGTGGTGCCATCAGGGCTAGCCTTCATCCTAGACATCAGCCCCGTGGCACACCGTGTGGCGCTGTGCCACCTGGCTGGCTGTCAGGAGCCCGCGGCCTGGTACCATACCCTCCAGATCCTCTTCTTCCTGATCAGTGCCTACTTCTTTTCCTGCCCGGTTCCCGAGAAGTACTTCCCGGGTTCCTGTGACATCGTGGGCCATGGGCATCAGATCTTTCACGCCTTCCTGTCTGTCTGCACGCTCTCCCAGCTGGAAGCCATCCTCCTGGACTACCAGGGCCGTCAGGAGATCTTCCTGCAGCGCCACGGGCCCCTGTCCGTCTACATGGCCTGTCTTTCCTTCTTCTTCTTGACTGCCCTCAGCGCTGTCACTGCAGCCCTCCTGAGGCAGAAAGTCAAGGCCAGACTGACAAGGAAGGATCCCTGAGGCTAGCTGGTGGGGCACCGTGCAGAGGCAGCCCGGCGTGATTGGAGGGAAACTCGATGTAACAGCTGACCTTTTGTTTTTAAGAGTTGGCTTTTAAATTAATTCTTATTTCCTAGGATATGCTATGTCTATGGCATTGGAAAGCCAAAGGTGTCAAGAGTCTTGTTACAGTTGTTAATAACAGGATTACTCCTTTTCCCTCTGGGTCATAGCCTTAGGAGACACAAGAAGGAAGGGACCTTGGCTACGATTCATGGGACACTGAATTTAGCTCCATTTTCATACCTAAAAGAATAATAAAGTAGGTGGCTGGTCCACTCCGTATTAGAATGGCCATCCTACTCTGCTGGTCTTTGGTAATTGAATAAATTGGCCCAAGGATTCAATTTCATTTGGATTTCAGATTGTCCAGGGTGGAGAAGTCAAGAAGATTCAGTGAAACCTTTAGACATAATGAATTAGTTTATCTGATTTCTGGTCTCTCCTCTCTTGTCCACTTAAACACTGACCCTTTTCTCAGGATGACGTCTGCTGGGCTATCCACTCCCATCTATACCTTGCATGCGAATATGGAGGACTATGAAGCAGTCATACTTCCAGGAAATGCTTGAATCCATGGGGACATTCAGGAAGCTTATTCTTACATAACACTAACGTAACTGGTACTAGAAAGTAAGTGCCAAAGAGCCACCAGGAGGCCCAGCCAACACGCGGGGATACTGTCTGGGGCCATGGACTGTTCTGTTTTCATACCTGTGGACTGCCGGATTACTTGAGATCTATTAGTGCTGCCTTACAGGCCAGAAGATCTGGGGCTTATCCCCAGATCTTCTGTTTTGAAACAATGCAGATATTCGTATTTTGACCACGTTCAGAAAGCCCCCAGTAGAGTGAATTGGTTTTAAGGGTCCCTCTACGGATCTGATTATTTCAAGAGGAATCCGAGGTCCTGGCTCTTAAAACAGATGCTGCCCCATGAAGTACCCAAATAACTATCTTAGTTCTGGGTCCTCAGGCAGGGCAGTTATACTTCAAATTAGAGCTAACCCTTAAATACCAAGCCCCAGGACAGGTGAGTGAGCATATGTGCTCACTGTTGCTTGATCCCTAAAGGTGCCTTTGGGTGGGAATGGTGAACTGGGTACTCGGTAGCTAGAATGTCCTGTTTGGGTCCTTGCTGCCCAGAAGCTTCTATGGGGTAGGTAGTACTCGAGACTGATGCATGCATCTGGCCACACAGCCCTCTCTGAGGATTGAGTTGCACACTTATCCAGTGAAGGGGGCTGCCCTGATAGAAGAGCCATGGAAGCCTTCTCAGAGGTTGCCTTTCCTATCAGTATAAGGTCCCCATTTACTAAAAGGGGAGGTGGCTTGTTTTCACTCCAGTTTCGTGAATCTCCTGTTACTAGGTTATTTTATCGTCTTCAAATCTTTTTCTTCATTTCCCTAGAGATTTGTGAATTTTGTGCCTTATAAATGGCAACATAGGAACATTTAATATATGGCCGTGTATAATTGTCAGTTTTGGGTTACTGGGATAAGAAAAAAAGAATTCATTGCTTCTCAACCAGTGGATAAAAGAAACTTTAGAAAACCAGGCTTGCTTACCAATCAAAACCTATGTTTTGGCAACAACAAAAAATAATCTTTATGTCAAGGAAGCATATGTTTTGTCAACTACATCGTTTTGCTAGATGGATTTCTGTTAATCCTCAAATATCTGAACATCTGTGCTACCCAAATGTCATGTGTAAGCTTCTGGTGTCTACACCATTCACCGCAAATAAAGTTAGCAAAACTGAACTGGATTGAATAAACAAAGGAAAGGCGAGTTGTGTAAACACTGCAAGTAGAGGGGCATGTATAACAGGGACTAGAAAGTGTTTGACATGTGCATTATTACGGATTCAAAGACCATATTCTTTTAAAAGTTGGAAAGAAGATGTAAGTCAAACTCTTATGTAACTGTGGTGGTCATGGTGGCAAAGATCTTTAGGCCAAATGCAGGAATTCAGAGAAAACAGGAAGTGAAGCAGTGATCTTCAAATGCAGTGCTCAGACCAGCTCCAGCTTGCACACTATGAATGGTATGTGACAAGCGAAGCAGGCTATAATTTTTATTTATTGCCATAATTTTTTATTTACTTAAGTATTGGCATCTCAAGTGATTAGAAATTTTAAAAAAGAAGTTTTTCGCCAGACATACTTGGGAAGCATTGAGGTAGGGGACTGCATACTCATTAGAAATACAGAGTATCTCATTACAAACATATAAACACAGGAAATGGAGATTTTTTTTAATGACTCACACGTTTTGAGGGGTTAAATACCCCTTTTAAAACATTTTCATTAATATGAGCGTATCTGGTAAGGAACAGACCTAGTTTAAAAGGAATAATGAAGTAGTTGATAAAGATGATTGTCTTACTTCACCACTGCCCCTCCTACACTTAACATCTACTGAAAATTCTGGTTATCACTTTTTTTTTTTAAACTAAGACTTTCAACCTATTAAAATGTAACTACTTCTGAAAAAACTAAACTATCAGTTATTTACATCTTATGAATAAAAATTCTGATGGATTTGATGAGGCCCTAATCTGGTGTAGGCAGAGGGGACAGTAGGACAAATCAGACTGGGGACACATTTGCCTGCTTCTCTCTTGCCTAGTACTTCCTGACCTAGATTTATAACTTAAGATGCCAGAATTTCATTTCCCACCTCAGCTGACAGTACCTCACTCAATAATAATATTCTCAGTCTTCTCCTGGAAGCTTGAAATAGGAGGAGCTCAGGCCAAGGAATGAAGGTTATTCATTCCTGCCTCTGTTGCCCACCTGTTCACAAATTACGTGGTAATGCTTAAAGACTTAGGTCCTTAGTAGTTTCAAGTGGGCCCTCCAGATACACTCCTGTCTTGGAGTGCACAGTCTTGGTCCCCAAGGCCTCAGCCTACTAAGGTGTTCATCCTAGTGTTTTGCTTGATTGCTTGGCAAAGAAAAAATGGAGCTACTTTGTTTATATAAATCTACTTACACAAATGACTATTAAATCGATTTTGTATGTGGATCAACAGGTATCTTGTTTCTTTGGCAAGGGCTACTTTACAAGGCCCATCTTAAAGAAAGGTTTTATCCGGACAAACACTACCAGGTGGAGGAGGTCAAGATACTTTATATCCACCTAGAAAAAGGAAAATATAAAAATCCAAAATATACACACATGCACATACCCCAAATCCCCACTTGTGAGATCAAATTGCCCCCCCCCCCACAGAGTTGATTTCTCTGAGTTCAATTTAATTGAATAAATCCCTTATATTCATGGAAAATAAAAGATTACACATTTTTGAATTGATGGGACTGTTTCTTGAAATCTAAAAATTATGAATTATAACAGGTACTACATACTATATATATACAATAATTACACTGTAACAGGTTCTATAATGTATGTGTTGTGAAATATGGCACCTAACAATGAAAGGATTTTGTAGCCTATTAGATTTAAATAGGTATGAGAAAGGGGATTCTTGAGGCTACTCCAGTTTCAGGGTACAGTACTATCATAACAATTGTCAGCAAACAGCATTTGTTTAGCTCCAGGCTCTACCGGTAGAATCTGGGAAATAATCAGATCCCTCTCTCCCAAACCTTTATTACCTGCAGGGGCCATAAGCAATTTGCAAATGCATCTGTTGTCACTGTTAATAGTTTAACCACTCCAGTTACTGATTCATCAAGTATTTATGAGCACCTATTGGCAGTTGGCCCCATGTTAGCTCTGGAGATTTAACAGTGAGAAAAAAAACCCAGCCAACCCATGGACCTAAATGTGGAGAATGTGCAGTCTGAGAAATAAAGACCAGCCTCTACCCGCCTTGGGCCACAACAGGGTTCCCCTCTCCAGGTCTTGGTTCCTATCAGTCTGAGGATCAGATGGCCTGCAAACCCATGGGAGGCTGGGACCTGCTTTGGACCACTTTCAGAAGGATTGAGCTGTCTCCCTTTTCGCCCTGAAGCTGGAAATATCTGCCTCACCAGCAAGGCTGTCCCCTTCCTGCTGCTTCTCCAGCCCTTCCTGCTGTCCTGTTTTAGTTCACTCTTGGATATTCCTGACACATCCAAACACAGGGAATCCCTATTTATTTTCACAGGTAGCATAGACTTCCCAGGTACATAATGTCCCATCCTTTAGGGAAAGGGATGTAGGGTTCCAACCTGAGTAGTTTCCTGATTTGGTAAATTGGAAACAGCATGCTACACTCTGGCTACCTCCTTTTTAATAAAATAAACACCTTATCCCCTAAATAATTTTTATGAAAATAGTATGTGGAAGAAAAAAACATTGCATTGAGAAAAGAATTCATTTAACTATTAATTTTAGAACCATATCTATCTAAGGTAAGGGCTTTTTTTACCCAACAAGATTCTCACAGGAAGAGATATGCACTGTAATTTAGACTCCAGGAGGCCTGACCAACTCAAAGGCTACAGATCTTATCATACATTATGCTTTCCAGAACATTTCCACATCCATTTTGTCCTCTAAATAATCATATGAGGTAAGGCCAAGACCTCCATTAACTTCTAACACTAAGAAAGAGGAGTGACTGTTTTAAAGTTACACTAGTTGTAATGTTTAAACTCAAACTTATTTTTCCTACAGACAAATTGAGAGCTCAGCTAACCAGAAACATCAACACCAGATATTTGCAGAGCCCTTTATAGTATATGAGTCACTTTCATACATGTATATACTTTAACCTAAGCTCATTTTAACTTTTGATTCTAATACCTCATGGATAGCCAGGATTGTATCATTTGTTTTTGGGTTAAAGTCACTTCACATTGTGTCCTTGGGTGGCAAATTGAGCATTCTTTGCACTTACAGTCTTCTCAGAGGCTCAAAGGTCCATTGGCCATAGGCTCTTGGTCGATTGGAAAGTCAAATTTCACTCTCCAGTCACAGCTTCTTGAAAATACCTTTGAATTCTTGGATGAGCAGCTCATCTAGTATTGATCATCTTATGATCAATAAGCTTTTGCAAGCCCTCTCATATTTCACTAGGCTGTCAGTTCTTCAAGTGATTGGTTCTCCCAGGGATTCTGACAAGTGACATGACTTTGAACATGGGATTTTAAAAAATGTTTCTCTGCCTTATAAAGGGTTTTGCAGACTTAGTAGAAAGACCAAAAAGCACCACTGATTACTCCTCATTTTCAAGTAAAGCAAATTCAGAAAAGTAGGGAAAAAAAAGAATCCATGGACCCATCACTAAAATAAATCCCTTTAAGGGAAAAATAAGGCTATGTCAAAATGTCAGTGACACATAAGTTAGTAGTATCATACAAGGCTCCCAAAAAAAACAAATTGGGAACTAGAAATTTTAAGCAACCTAATAATTTCATCCTATAAAATATAAAATCAACAATCTTTGGCTCATTTTACAGGAACACCAAGGTAGTTACATTACACTCCCTTCTGACATTACATTATGGAGGTAATTTGATGATGCTATGGCTGAGATACTGGCTCGTGAAAGAAAGCCAATGATACATTATCTCCCATTGAAAGAATTCTTTGAAATGCTCCTGAATCAAGCCTTCAGGGTACTTTGCTAGAAAGACCTTCACTGGAGGCAATGCCCAGCCTGTTGAACTGGTATGTGAATTCACTGACAGTCACTCTGCAAACACTGACCACCTCTAGGAGGCAGGACTTCCCTGATCTAGGCACCAAGAATACAGCAATGGACAAAACACAAATCCCCACCCTGAAGGGAGCTTACATTCCAGGGGATGTAAAGTGGGGAACAAGCAACGAACCAATTATACAGTATGTTAGAAAGTGCTGGTGTCAAGGAGAAAGAGAAAGCAAGGGAGGCTAGGCCAGAGGGGTGGGGCAAGTGTGCAGTTTTAAACAGAATCAGGAAGACCTCAGGTGAGGGCATCAGCTCTGTTTCTCACCAGGGCAGAGGGAAGAAGTACAGGGCTCTGAGGCCAGAGGATGCCAGGCACAGCAGGCAGCCAGCAGGCACCCAGAGCGGGAGGACAGATTCTGAGAGCCTTGTAAGGACTTCGGCTTTTACTCTGCCTTCAGGACCTCACCCCAGGGAAGAATTCTGTCCAAAAAAATTCAGGGTCACTGTTTATCTATGCGGATTAACTACTAATTACATTGCCTGTAGGAGAGCTGGTTCTGCTCCCTGCAATCTACACAAAGCCAGGTTATCGTTAAGTTATTCCATCCGTGGGCCTGGCCCAGGGAGTCCTCTGTCTTCCTCTGGACACACTTTTGTGCTCACAGGATTCTTCCCAGATTCCTCTCAGCATTTTTTTAAGTGCCTGGAATGCTGACCTCCACTTCTCAGACAGGCTTTGAATGTTTCCTCGTTCCACTGACACTGCTTGTACTCTGGGTATCTGCAGGGTGAAAACATAACGAAACCCAAGGCAGAGTCTGTTAAGCTGGGAATCACAACATAAGCGTTTACATTAGCCGGTGCTCACTCCTTACTAAGTCCTTAGCTGAACTGTTTTCTCAGATTCTTTCGTTTCACCCTCATACAACCCCAGAAGGTAGATACTGTTATTGCCCCCATTTTACAAGTGAGGAAACAGATAAATTTGCCCAAGGCTACCAGGCTAATAAGTGACTGAATGCCACAGAAACTCCGCCCTTGGAATCCAGAGTCCGTATTCTCAACCACCAAAGCAAAGTGAATGTAAGAAGGTCCTTTTTGAGGGTCTACCTTCCCCATTGGCAGATGGATGAACCAGAAGTATTGAATTGAGAGGGAAATGTAATGTGGGTATTTTTTTTGTCTAATTAGTGAAATAAACCTAAAATGCCATTCTTGTTTCATTTCTACATACTCTGCCAAGAAAAAGTCCTATTTCTCTTGAAGCAATACCAATAGTGAGATTCTTAAATGTATCTTGTGCGAGAATCCCAATGCAGACCTAGCCACGTTGCAGACGTTAGTCTCAGCGGCCATCCGCAGCCACCTGAACCACCTTCAAGGACTGAAACCAGCTTTGAGAACCACCAACTATCCTCAAATTATTTCCCTACACTTCTCTAGTAAATCCTTCCTCGTCTACAGGACCTATCAAATGCCTCCTAGTCCTCATTAAAGTGAATTTGAACACTGTACTGGGCTTAAACAGTTTATTTTCCAAAGACAACTACGGCAACAGGCAAAGCATCCTACTCAGTGCTTTCTCCTTCATCAACAAAAACAAGTTGTTTTGGAATCCGAGTAGCTTCACTGTGGGAAAGATACCGCAGCACAAAGTCTGTGTTAGTGGCAATTGCTGTCATTATTATTCCTGTCATTTCACACCAAGCAAAGTGCTGTGGATTCTATACAAATACGTCTACTCTCTCCATAACTTCCAAGAGTCTCTCACCAGAGGGGAGCTTTCTGCCCTTGGGAGGCATCTCTCTCCTCTCAGAACAGACCAAGACGTGTTTTTTTCCCTGCAGTTCTGCATGTGTTTTGGTGGAGAATTTCTCACTTTCCTCCACATTCCTTCTTTGACACTGTCTGCCTGTCACAGATAATCACAGGCATCAGCAGAGACCCTTCCTGCAGCACGCAGCCCACCCAGAAGGCCGGCCCTAATGTCCTTTCTCACTGTGGTCCCCATGCGTTCTTAGTCTCAGGGAGAATCTCACTGTTCCACTCACTCATTTTTCACTCCCTGATTCCCATCGGTTTAAGCCGATTCATGTCCCTCCAAAAGATATGTTGATGTCCTAACCCCCAGTAGCTGAGAAAGTGACCTTATTTGGAAATGGTAAATGGTTGCAGATGTAAGTAGTTAGGAGGTCACACTGGAGCACAGCAGACCCTTAATCCAATGTGACTGGTGGCCTTCTAAGAAGAGGAGAGACAGAGGGAATGTGAAGATCTGTGGCCATACAAAGGTACAGATGCGCACACAGGAGAATGCCATGTGACAATGGAAGTCAAGACTGGAGTCATGCAGCTGCAAGCCAAGGAATCCAAGGATGGCTGGTAACAACCAGAAGCTAGGAGAGAGAGGGTTGCCTGAGACCTT